AACTGTTCCTCCGACTCAGACTCCTCTTGCTGGCTAGAAACTGCAGCTCGTTTGTCATATACAGCTAGTTCTCTCGTCGGCCTTCATATCCAAGTCGAGTTCCGTTCCCTATGAGTTGATTTTTGATCTATCCGTCGGCAAGCTCTTTGTCGGTTCGCAGCTCAGATATGGCGTATTATGGGGTAGTAGGTCATTTAAATTCAAGGACAGGGATGAGTATGCAATAGTCTCATCAGCCCTTATTGTACCTCCTCGCGGCCACGATGCGTTTGGCCTATCCGAGAGCCATGGCCTGCCGTCAGACGCACACTCGGACATGCCGGAGATCTCACGTGCTAACTTTTGACCGGCGGTCATGACCGGGTCACACAGTGACCGGTCATCCGTCGTCTAAAAGTCATGACCGTTGACTTGACCCGTAACAACGCTGCTTTGCCCGGCGCCGGCTTCTGGTCCTTCAAATTGCCTGGTTTCTGCTGTCTCCCCTGGTCCATTCCTGTCTCTCCTGCTCTGGAACTTCTCCGAGTCACACATGATCACTATAAGAGCGCGATGGCACCTACCTATCTGAGGTCTTTCTGCTGCAGCCTGTGGTTCGCCTACCATCCCGCACACGTCCCCCGTCATAGCAGGTCATCGCATGGTATGCCGTCAGTATGCTTGTGGAGAAGGGCATCAACAAGGAAGATCTGTGGTGATTGGACATAAAGCTTGCATTAGTGCGCCATTATGTTGCTTCTCTCCAAGTGAGTAGTAAAGTGCGAACGACGATGACATATACCTTTTCTGACCCCCAGACTGGCTCCTTGCGTCGCTTACGCTCCTCGATGGAACGCGACTAGCGTTTGAGCTCTGCGCTCACCGGTGTTGGTCTCATGAAGGTCGATATGCGCAGCATATATCACCCACCCGGAGCAGCTCTTCTACCTTTGACCCTGCCGCTCAAAAAATGTCCTCTTTGAGCCACAGCATATGCATCCATCGATGCCTACGCTGACAAGGTTGGTATGAGCATGTATTCCGTCCATAGGCAGCAAAATCGCCAACCGAGGTCTCATCGGACAGGGCTTCTTTCCGCGCACCACGAGCAACAACTATCGCGACATTCCAGGCGGCATCCGGTACGTCGGCGCACCCGTCTTCCTCACTTACTCTTACATTCTGGATGATTGACAAGACGTGGTGGCAGATGCCGTGTTGGATCGGAGTTAAGCTTCGGGGCCGCCATGGGGCGGAGATGCGAGGATGCTCATGTTGCGCTCTGCTGGTATGTTCTCAGCTGCAGCTGCTAGCGAACAGGACGTTTTTGCGCTCTACGCCGACAATAGGCTCACGATTGACCCCTTGACGGCGGAGCGGGCATGCTGACGTGTCCCCTCAGATGACGTGAGCTGGAGCCGCACTAGCACAGGCTGAACGGCGAGGCCTCCCGACGTCTCTCCCTCTGCCGCCTCTTCGTACCTCCGGGAGAACATATAGCAACTGCTGTGCTCGCCTGAGGGAACTGGGCTCAGAATCTGAAACATGGTCAGATTCGCATCTCGTACAAGGCCTCTCCGCTCTTTTTCCTCTACGTCTCTGGTACCTATCGCCCCAGGTCTCAGCTTCTCTCCCTGCATCCAAGTCAAAGCACATACGGATCCGGGCGCGTGCTCCCTGCACATATGCAAGCTCGTCTCGCTTCACTGCGTCAGCTGCTGTCGTGCAAAACCACTGGCAGCAGGTCGCGGACTGCGTCGGGTTTTCCAAGCGTCTCCAGTTGGACACCGAGAAGAGCCCTGATTGGGAGGCCATCGTACCCCTCCTACACGTCGGTCTTAGGGCCACCTCTCTTTCATCGGGCGTATCTCTCCTCCTGGGCAGATCGACGGTTGCATCGCGCGAGGTTGGACCCGCTGGACGCGCCGTCGCTGCCTCCTAGGGCACCAATCTTCTAGCTTAGCTGTCACGCTGGGGACAAAACTGCCCTCAATCTCGTCCAGACGAACTAGCTATAGTACTGAACACTCCCCTTCCCCCAACGAGTATCATATGCCTGTTCTTGCGCCCCGGCATGATAGAAGCAGATGCGCTCTACACTAAAGTTCCAGGACGACATTACTCTGGAGCGGTTGTGATCCGACGTCGCCAGAAAATCGTCTCTCTGCTCGTGGCACGGCGGAACGTTAAATCGATTTCTGGCCTTTTTATTATGAGAGTGTTGTCGGTGGTGGTTTTATACGATAAGCTGCTTGAAGGCGGATCAGACTGATCTGCCGCATTTGTTGGTACACACAATTCTATGTCTGCCTCGAACCCATTCAGTGACGAGTGGACCAAAGAACACGATATGACTGAATCGAGTTTGCTGTTCATAGCTGCGAATGCTATTCAACGTCTCGTCCCACTAGACATGGTGCCACAATACGTATAAATAGCTTTGGATCGATTTCGAGACTCAGGAGCGAATAAATACAATCTCGAGGTCAACGAGCAGGCGGTACGCGGTGCATCTCACTTCTACGTAGATACCACAGGTCCTTTGTCCTTTCCTCAACCCCACCAGTCGTTGAGCCAGACTACTCCCTCGATGCCGGAGTGGGCTCGTCAGCGCGCTCCTCATCATCACCATCACCATAGTCCTCCTTGAGGTAATCTTCGGCGGAAATAGATGCTCCGAGTGACCCAACGACCCGTTCGAATACCAGAGAACGATCGAGGTGCAGCGACGAAATCTGTGAGGACGGTATGGAGCCAACGGCCCGGAGGCTTGCTGACTGTAGGTGGAGCAGGAAGCGTGACACGAGGATGGCAGATAACCTGCGTGGACGGATGTACAGGCGAAGAGTCAGAAGGAATGGGTTTGGGTGACAGATGCATAGGCAAACATACGGGGTTGTGAAGTGCGAAACTACACTCGGGTATGAAGATTGAGACCCGTCTACGGTGGTCTGTAATATCCAAGGTCGCCTGTTACACTGGTTGAGTGCGAGTGTGCGAATTAACCGAGAGCATTGTGAAAGCAAGACGTAGGGAATTGAGCACGGCGAGGACGCTAAGTGACGAGGGAGTAAGATATGATATGCGGCAGAACTGCGTCGCTCACAGAAAATAGACTGTTCCTGCGTGGTATTGCATTAGCTTTCTACGCCTCGACCAGCCCTAGTATTACTCAATACACACCATCCGTCAGCAGCGCGCTAGATATTGAGTGCTTCAGCACACTCGCACGGCGAGTCGGGAATTGGAGACCTAATGTGTGCCATATGGCACCTATGGCGAGGGCGTCTGCTGCAATCAGGCACGACCGAGAGATGATCGTGACTAAAGTAGCCCGTAAGGTCGAGCGTTTGGTGTCAACTTTGATTGCACCTTACACCTAGGTAGGTACGTTGAGCTTCAACGAATAGTCCCAATCGACACCCTCGAGAAAAATCACTTTTTGGTGAGCCCGATGGACACTCGGTCAATCTCTGCATCCAAAGGGAAGGATGTTCTCCCCGGTCAATCCAAACCCGAAGGTAGCCTGTTGATGAAGCAGTGTTCAACTGGTAGCAATGAACGCGCAGTGATCCAATCTCACAAATTAACTGCGAGAGGCACCAAGGATAGGACAGCAGCGATAGCACACAAAGTCAAACTCCTCCTGAGTGCATAGACACGTATCGCTGTGAAGGCTAGAGATTCACACTATCGAGATGTGCTCGTAGATATATGTGGATATAGAATGCGCACCTTCCAGGATCATGAAAAGTAAGTATGCAACAGCGGTATCACCTCTGGTAGACAGAGCACAACTGCTTGGAAAACGACCGATTGTGGTACTTCGGGGAGGTTCCATTGAATTGTCTCACCTCTGGAGAAGTCCAGATATATGAGTTCAGTTGATCCCAGCAAGAGCGGAGTAGTGCATACCTTTTCTGACATGTCCAATCCAGTTGCAAGGTCCCAAACCAAACAGAGCGCGGTCATGTACTTGTTCAGCCAGAACAAGATGGCTGCCCCTGTGATCTTTCGTCCCCAGAAACACCGTATTTCTTCCGCGGTCGTGACCATTGAATCGAAGAAGAATACCGCTGCAGAACAGATCGGTGAGTCAGTCAGCGTTGACTGTCCAGGGCATCCCGGTGGTATGCTGCAGCTCAGTGGGATCCGCACCTGCTGCTGCGACACCGCAGTAGGTTGTTGTCATGCTACGGGGTCCAGAAATTCATAGTGAGTGCTCGTAGTACCAGGCTGAAGAAGAGGACAAGGCACATACTAGCTGGAGTATTCGGCACCAAGCTGGCCAAACTGTGAAGAAGCCATAATCTCTACAGGGAGCCTGGGTTCGACGCGACGTCTGTGGGGTGTCTCCTGGAATGCTGAGGATGAGCCCAGTCGGTGATCCCAGCGTAGGGCGCGATGCCTATGAGAGAGTGCGACAGGGAGTGAGTTTGAAGGGAGTAGGACTGAACCGTATATATTCACCACAGCGTAAGCATGACAGACGTCATCTGCGGTAGAGAAACCTGCAGGGAAGGCGAGACAGTTTCGTAGCGCGTTGCATGCACGATCTTACCGTACGTACGCATACAGATGGGCGTGCGAGTTTCTGACATGTGGCTTGCGCGGTGTCCAGAGATATGATGTGTCCAGAAGGACAATGTAGCGGTGGCGCACTTCAACAGATGCACTGGAGAGTACATAGAGGCAAATACACATCGTCATACACGCACGGTAGGATAGAGCCTTGGCCACAGAGCTTACGGGTAAGGCAGTGGCGAGACAGCTACGGTGTCCTCGCGAATCACACTAGGCATCATGAGTACTGAGAGGGGCAACCGCAGAAAACCACGGAAGCCAGCGCACGCGAGCAACGCCGGTGGCGTACGGTGGCGTAGATTTTTCACGCAGTAACGTTCTATGAAAGATGCAAGCGACGATGGCACGGAACGTTTGGTCGGTCTCCGTCACCTCCTTTTCGTATTTCCCTTCGTCACGCTCACTGCACGCAAAATCGGTTCCGAGGAGAATCAACCATCTGGGGACGCGTCAGCACTCTAGGGTAGAGACAGTATCGCGCTAGAGACAAGCGAGATACGAGGTGTACCTTCTGATAAAAACTCCTCCACACATCCTGGTCACTGACGATCTGGATCGGGCCCTTGAGTGTGTCATACACATCGATAATCAGCAGTCGCTACGGAATGCTCGCAGTTCGAGAACAAAGCATACATAGACGTCTTTTGGTTCTCGATCCGACAACACTCCGAGTCGTTGCTAAGACATGATAACTGTCAAATGGTCGTCTTCATCTGGGCCGTCAGCCTGTATCGCCTTGCAGAGAGATGTGTATTCTTCTCCTCCCACCTTCAGGGGCGCCGCCTGCGCGTCGCTCGCGGCGGGTGTGCCTTCCTCTGAGTGACCGACGTCGTTAGAGCCTTCGCCGCGGCGTCGAGCTTCTCGCGTTCTTGGCGCTTGGTTGTGCCCAAAAAAGGGAGGAATCTCAAGTCAACGAGCGAGCGAGAGAAGAGACATATCCCACTGCACAACGCTCTTCTCCCATTCCTCCTTCGCCTTCTAGAAGAGCTCTTCAGCAAGCACATGCAGCTCCGAGATGCATGGCAGACGGCACCGGCGGCACTTTCTGCGCACGACCGCCGCACCGAGCAACCACAACCTCAAGCGTCTCCCTGTGCTCCGTTCCTCAAGAGATTCACTATTGAGTGCCACCCTCTGATAGCGTTCGCGCCGCCTGATAAGGCTATCAGCTGATCCTTCGATTTTGATCCTAACTCTACTCCGCCAATGCCGCTTGTTGACGCCGGAGTACGGGGAGCCGAGCCGCCGAAGGCAGTACATAGAGGTGGCGGAGAAGCACGCGAAAAGGGGGATGATGACAGTGGAGAGTGCGGCAGAAAACGCTCCGGACATAGTGGCGGAGACGAGCAAGTTGAAGGTCTACCATCTGGGCGTCGTGTTCGAAGCCCTGTAGGGAAGTGAGGGCCTGTAGTGATCTCTTCCCCGCCTTCGTCGCTTGTGCTGTGCCGAGCAAGGTCCAACACCAAAGTGAATCCAGGAGCAGTCGCAAGCTCGGAGACGTCCACTCTCCAGTCAAGAGTCCTCGCGCTCAAACTGTTTGTCTGGAGGGACCCACGGACTGAGTGTGCGAAAGGTCGGTATAGGAAGGCAGATCGGAGGCGAGAGATGTTGTCGACTTGACCCTAGCGTCCATGGGTGCTGCCGCCGTAGTAGATGACAAGGCTTCAGAGAGGCATGACGTCCATCGAGAGAAGCTGGGGAACCGGGCGCGGGGAAGAGCGATGGGAGATCGGCAGCCTTAGATGCGCAGACAGAGGTACCGTCGATAGGGAGCGGGGTGCTCGCAATGGGGAGGGTGGTCGAGAGGAGAATTGGGAGAACGCACTCAAGGAGATTCACATGAACATTCCAAGGACTGAGCTATCAACAGGGGTCCGAGTCGTTCGCACGCAGGCACTAGTGCTGCACGGAGTCCTGCGCGTCAGCCATTGAGCATGAAAGGAAGACGGGTTTGAGATACCCACTCGAGTATCCGCAGGGTGTTTGTGCTGCCATGCTTGGAGGGCTGCCCGCAGGCTTGAGCCCTGCAGCGCGAGGATGGTGGCGTGCAGAGAGTCGCGGCGTCTCGAGTCGAGTCGCGCAAGTTGTCGCCCGGCACGGGGACACGGGCCGGGGCCTCGTGCGCATAGGTCCCCGTCATCCTCAATTACGCCATTAATTATGTACGCTCTGGGTGTCAGCAAGACGTGGTTGCGGAACCCGTGCTTGATTGGTGTCGAGATATGGGCGGAGAGGCGAGGATGTTCGTGTTGCACTCTGCGGGTGCGTTCTCAGCTTCAGCTGCTAGCGAACAGGGCGTTTTGCGCTCTACGTCGACGATAGGCTCACGATTGCTAACTTGACGGTGGAGCGGGACGGCTGGAGGACACCGTCCCCCCAGAAGACGTGGCGCCGGTGTCGTACTAGCACGTGCTGGAACGACTTTACTTCCCTCCGCTATATCCTCACAACTCGCATCTCTCCCACAGCGTGAAGTGCCAGATTTTGGCGGGAGGAGAACAAGCGGAGAATGAGCACATTGCCGCCACGTTCTCCCCACATTGCCGCCACATTCTCCAACAGAGGAGAATGTGCGTCTTTTCCACGAAGACTCCATAGATTGTCCAGACGTTGCCTGCACATTCTCTGCACATTCCCGAGTGTGGAGAATGCGCGATGGATACTACGTAGCACGGCTTATCTGACGTCACTTAGCAAACTTTAATCAATTTGTGAGCACGTGCTCCCCGACCCATTCGCGAGCTCATGCGGGACCGCACATCCACCGCGCAGTAATCGCTTGGGCGTACAATTGCAGGCAATACATATGTTCGCTATATAGACTTACGAAACAGATCTAGAGGGATGCGTGGCCTGTTGTGGTTGAAAGCTAGCGTGCGGTTGAAAGCTAGCGCGCGGCTTGTAGAGGGCCCTCCCTGCTGGCCGCGGGGTTCCTTGTGAGGAATCTCCATATGCATCTCCTTGAAATCGACGTGCAGAGAGAAACCCTAACCGCGTTGAGCCCAATATACATGTTGAACTTCAACCCAAGTCGCCCACATGCCGGGACAAGTGAGGGCTTGCAGGCTTGCGGAGTGTGTCACATGGTCAATGATCCAAGGTGCATGTTGACGATTGCAAGCTCATCAGTAAGTGGTGATTCAGCGCCCAAGATGGGGGAGAGCTTGAAGACATTCAACAGGATGCAGTAGACGTAGCTGAGACATCTGGGAGGCGGCAGTTCCTCAGAAGCAGAGACCAGTGTCGACCAGTTAGTATCCCCAGTGAGGTCCCAGAGGGCCAGAGGCTCCAGCAGAGAGGGAGTGACGTTGTCTGACAGTTGAGGGGACTGAGAGAAAGCCAGTAGAGTAGACGCGTCATGGTTCCCAAGTCCAGAGGAAGCCAGATTGTCATCAAGCTCAGGAGAGGAGACTTGGAACATGGAACCAGGAGACGTCGCCCCGTAGGCTCATGAGCTTGTGCGCCAGTCTTCAGACACGATCGACAACGTCAAGGCAAAGATCATATCTTGCCATCTTGAGGGGTCCGGCAGTAACGACAGTCGCAATCCACCACCAACGGACGCCACCGCCGCCACCAATTGCAACAGCCGCATCAGTAACGAGCTCATCTTCGTGCACGGTCTGCACATATACGCTCTCCGACAATTCGACAGTGCCTATTGGGATCTCTTGCTGGGTCCCTCGTCGACGCGTGGTCCTCTGGCTGGTGGCCTGTGCCGTTGCGATGTCGCATTCATGATGCGCGTTGGTGGCCGCAGTGTGCGCACTGACGATGTCGTAACTCAGGAGCTTTTTTGAGCACTTGCCCTTGCAATAGCATCACTTTGGTGGTTGCCGGTATGGTTTGTTGGGCATGATGCCAGTCTGCAGCTGAGGGATAACAGCAGGCAGCCGGGGTGATAGTACAGCTGGAGGCATACTGGGAGTGGTGACGCTCCATAATGCCACGTCGAAAACTTATCTGACAAGTATCCATGCATTACGAGGCTACCGAATCGAGAACTAGAGAACATGGTGAGAATGTCGAGGCAACATGCATGTAGTCTACGGATTCGCCGTCCTGGAGAACATGGGGGAGAATGTGGAGAGAATGTCATGGGAATCCGCACATTCTCCGCATGTTCTCCCCCGCCAAAATCTGGCCCTTCACGCTGTGTCCCCTTCCGAGATCTCTTCACTCTCAGGGCTCCCCTCGAACCCATCGTGCCAGGTCTTGGCCGCCCTCTACATTCAAGTCGACGCATATCCTGTGCCAGACGCCTGCTAACCGCACAAATCGAAGCTCAACTGACATCGCCGCTGAACCTGCCGTCATGGAACATCACTGTCACCAAATTGTGGACGATACGTCTCCGGGCGCGAGTTCCGAGGTCCGGCTGGACACCGAGAGGAGCGATCATTGGGAGACTAGCGCGCTCCTTCTGCGCAGCTGCCATCGATGCATCGGTCTCAGCCCTACGTCGCTTTCAGAGGGCGAAGGACATCGCACGTATCTCTCGCCATGAGCATGATCAATGGCCGTATCGGGCGAGGTTGAACCCCCTAGACGCGCGGGTACCACCGATCCTCTCGCATAGTTGACCCGCGGGCGACAGAACTGCCCTCAATCTCATCCATGCAGACTAAGTAGAGCTGAGCCTTCCCTTTCCGTGACAAGTATTGCAGGCCTGTTCTCGTGTCCGGGCCGTCGTCGAAGCAGGCGCGCTCTGTCCGGGCTAGCTGGGCCCTGGCAATTCGGGTGCCTTTCAAGCGCCGATGGTAATAGAGCGCGCGAGCACTGGCATATGTCGTCTCGTTCGGCGATCTGACCACCACCAGCAGTTTCCTCTCCGCACGAGATACAAATTACGGAACTAAACGGTGCTGGCGTACGGAACCAACTGTGTATCCCCTCCTAAGGCCTTCCGGGCCCAAGTCTCCTAACGTGCTAGTACGATGTCAATGGTGTGGGAGTACAGACGTTATACTAACGTAAACGGTAGATTGATTTTCTTTGTACACTCTTGCGAAAGTACTCAATGGATCCGGAGCACAATATTGTATATGGTCTGGCTCATAGATAAGTACAAATTTGCCGACATCCAAATCCCACCCTACAGCAGGCTACGAACACTGGCGCGGACATCTTGCTACAACGGTCGGGGCGCGATCGAGATTTCAATTCCTGATCCAGTAGAACTACGATCCTATCGATGTCTGAGTCGAGTTCTCTTCCCTACTACACACGTGGTCACTGTCGACTGAGTCGTCCTCCTGCCCAATGTAATCGTCGCGTGTGATCGAAGCTCCAAGTGATCCAACGACTCGCTCAAATATCAGCGAGTGATCTAGATCCATAGAAGACGCCTGAGAGAAGGCTACAGAGCCAACGGACTGAAGACTCGTAGACTGTAGGTGGAGGAGGAAGCGGGAGACTAGGATGGATGATAGCCTGGGTATTGGGTGGTGCGTGCCGCGCGTTAGAATGTGCTCGAGTAGCCAAATGGCAGATAGACATACAGGATCGTGAAATTGGTAATGACACTGGTAGGCGCGAGCGCCTCGACAGCAAGCTGCAGCCCCAAGAGTGAAGATGAGTTCCAATGCAACTGCAGAGTGTGGGCTTACTGCGAGCAACGTGAAGGCCAGATGAAGAGAGTTCAGCACCGCGAGGATGCTAGATCAACTAAGTATGACACTCCAGCTCAGAGGTACTTTGACTCTGTATGACTTACAGGAAATAAACCGTCCCTGGATGGATCGCGATGAGTATAGGTGTAGGCGTTATAGGAAGTATCAAAGCCAGTGCTCACCATCCACCAACAGGATGCTGGAAAGAGAGCCTTTCACTATATTAAGATAGCGAATGTCATGGCGGCGGGCGAGTGTCGCCCATGTTACGCCAATCGCAATGCAGTCTGCTGCAATCATGCACGACTGCGATATAACGACAACTAATAGGATTGCCGGTTAGAGCCGATTCAATGTTGCTACAGACGTGGGTCATACATCTGGACCGTACAAGTGTGAGTCATGTGAAGGATCTCGTCAGGTTGTCTCAAGTGAGGAGTGACCTTTTCCCAAGATCCAGGGAGACGCTATCGATTATGGTACAACCAATGGGGAATACACTCTTGCCGGTCAGTCCAAATCAGAAATTGGCCTGTCAATGAGTATGTGGGCGCAAGTATGGCGAACACAGGTTATAGAGCAGACTTACAACGTTGACTCCAAAGGGAACTACGGATAAACAGAACACAATCGAGCACAGAAGCCAGCATCTTCTTAGGGCGTAGATGTGCAGTGCTGTGAAAGCTGGGAGGGCAAAAGACTCAATATGTCTGTTGACGCAACATGTGACACCACACTTACCTGCTAAAACTAGCAGAAGAGAATATTCCACAGCAGAATATTCCTCTACCGAGGAAGCGCAGCTATGTGTAGTTGACAATCAATCAAGGTGAGGTAACAAGAGAGCTATGAGTTCAGCTCACCTCTGGTAAAGATACAAGATCAATCATCAGCCTATCAAGTCATGAGAGAGAACAAATGCACCGCATCTGAGTTCGTGAATCCGATTGCGAGGTCCCAGACCCATTCCAATATGGTCAAATACTTGTTCAACCAGAACAAGATCGCTGCGCCAGTCACTTTCCGTCCCCAGAAACACCGTATCTCTTCTCCGGTTGTGATGAGCGAATTATAGAGAAAGGCCACTGCGATACGGACAAATCAGTCATGCAACACCTACCAGAGCGCGCTAGGGTGCATTGCGATTGAATCCGCGTACCTGCTCCGGCGGTGGCACAATATACGATGGCATATTGCGCGACAATTTGGTTCGCCTGCGAGGAAGACATAACGATGGGAGCTACGGCTACGGCAGGGGGGCTGTGGGAGGTTCAAGTTGTCTATGGCAAGTTCTGGGAACTACCAGATATATATACTCGTATTGCGTTGTATAGGTTCCCATAGATGCTTTTGCTCTTCACATCTCAGTCAGTAATGGACCGCTTTCCCTCATGACTGTTTCATCCCACGGCGGCCCGCGGATGAGAACCTAGAGAACGTCATGAGTCTACTGCGCGATCAACGTAGACACGGTAGTGCATTGATAAGTATGAGAAGCACTGATCTTTGGACCCAGAGATCTGTGATCACCTGTTGCACGTAGATCGTCCATGACATTGACATTTCAAGTTGCACTCACTGAGTGATAGAAGGGCTACGAGGACAGACGCGTAAACCAGAAACATTTGTGAGCCAACATCAGCAGAACTGCGGGTTCTCCTGTAGGAGATGTTAGGCAGAAGCATGGGAATGGGCTCTCATAACATCATATGATTACACACACGGTTGAGGTTGCGAAACATTGTCCCGAAGTAGTTGGAATGTACTCACACCCTTTGATAAGATATCAACATCCCCAGACATCGAAACGGCAGCATAGGTCAGTTACATTTTCGTGTCTTTCTGCCTCATGACACTCACTTGGGACTCAAAGTCTGCGCCGACAGCAAGCCGGGAGAGCGACTTGTTGGAGTCAGGCTTGCAATGATATGATATTTACGTTCACATGAAGTCGAGGAGACGTAGCTTGTTCAGACAGGGGCCCAGGACGATGTATGGAGCAAATTGAATCTTGGCATAAGCGACGTCCACATGCGGCAGCTCGAATACTTGGTATACGACGTCTTGGATGGTGTACCAGGGATGACTATTCGTGTGGAGTTTCCATGTTGAGCCTGAGTCTGTGTGATGGATGGTTTTGGGAGCTTGGTATGAGTGGAGCCCTGACAGGGTGCCTCTCGGCATGGAGCGGAATCCGGAGCCATCAGTCTGCCATGCTGCGTCCCGAGCGCGCACGCTGGCGTCACTAGTCACGAACTCTCTTGCTTCGCTTCCGCCAACTCTAGCATCCACATTGAACCCGTTGAGCACGATAGGAGCACCAGTATTCTTCCACATGTCTCCACAGCTGGCTCCTCGCGGGTCCGGTGACCGGTTATCGAGAAAGTCACTCAGCGGACTAGAGGGGTACGTGCTCAAATCTATCGAGGTGGCGGACGCGTAGATGCACATACACATCAGCAAAAAAGCAAAACGGATGGTCAGTGATGACCAGGTTCCGCAATTTTGACCAGATTGGGCAAGGTATGAGAAGTAGATGGTAAACCCGTAGCAAATCTGCCAGATATGGTGTGCAATGGCCAGACCTTGGGGGCGCCTGGACATTGATAGCCATTTCTCGCTGAGCATTCGGACAGCAGATACTGTAGAGGAACTAAGGCCGATAATGTACATTATTGACTGAGCCAATGAACATTCATGGTCAGTACCCGGTGCAAATTCTACCATGCATGACCAAGCTCAAGCTGCGAAACAGTTGTTCAAGAGAATTATCACACGATTCAGTGTCGCGGCGACTAGGCGCGTAGAC